ACACAATCATACAATACTGGGAATCAGGACCTAGCCAAGTTGACAGATATTTTTGGGGGACACAATTCAATCCATGACAGCATCGTTAAGTGTTTTCCTCCAGCCTCACTGAGCTGCACAGGCAGTCATGGAGTTGGCCTTAACTAGGATTATGGTTTAACCAAGAGTACAGAAAAGTGAAAAAGAGGCAAGAAAAGAAGTGTTTATAATGATGGACTATGGGTTTTAAACTGCGTAAGAAGGGAAGTGCAAACACGAAGTGACGACAATGAATATGTGGTAAGAATCAATGGATTTTGGTCTTGGTGGCTTGAAGGATTGCTGGAATTCGGATACTAAAAAGAGTGAGATGAAAGGCAAGTGGTCAGAATGATACTCAAAATTGACATTATACAGAAGTCTGAGTTCTGGGTAAAAGGTCCCTGGGTAGCACAAGTGGTCTGCAATTGGCTGCTAACCTAAAGGTTGGCTCCTCGAACCCAACCAGCAGCACCACAGAATAAGGGCCTGGTAATCTGCTTCCATAAAGATTACAGGCAAGAAAACCCTATGGAGCAGTTAGACTCTGTAATGAGTTGGAATCAACTTGAGAGCGACGGGTTTGGTTTTTTTAGTTTGAGTTGTGGGTGATGGACAGTTCTAGAATATGACCAGGAGTCCCTGGGTGGCACAAATAGCAAAGCACAGGGCTATTAACCAAAAAGTTGGCAGTTCAAACCCACCCAAAGGTGCCTCGCAAGTAAGGCCTGGAAATCTTCTTCTGAAAGCTCCAGTCTTGAAAACCCTATTAAGCAATTCCACTCTGTACATGTGTACTTACCATGAGTTGGAATTGACTCGCTGACAACTAACAAGAGTAAGACCATCTGAAGGAGTGGCTGAGGCAAGGTGGAGGGCAAGGTCACTGGGTTAAAGGTCAAGGAGCCAAAAGATCGGGGCATAGTAGGATCATCTACATGAAATATTGAACTCATGGATTAAGCAGAAGCGTGAGAGAGTGAGTTAGCAGCTAAAAGTTTTTACGGAATGCGGGCAGGTGATCTAGAGGTAGGGAGATGACCGTGTCAAGGTAAAGGAGTTGGTGTCACAGTCTTGATGAGAACAGATTAAAAGTTGGGGAGGGCATCTAGGAAGGGAGAGGGGAGGCTGGTTTATAAGTGGCAACAAAAAGCAAGGAAGTCACCTACCTCACATCCAAGCCTAGAGGGATGAGTGGTGTGTGAGAGACAACAGTCACTATTTCAGAGAGCCGTGGAGGAAGCAATGTCCTTAGGAGAGAAAGCCAGGCAATTTGGATAGAAAAGGGGGATATACAGAACTGCATGAAGACTGGAGATGGGGATGCAGAATGAACTGGGAGACCTGGGCTTCTTGTGTGACCGCCATGAAGAGGAACAAAGGACATTATGAAATTAGCCCTGATGGTGCCAGGGCAGTGGTCTCACGGCTGCAAACGCTGGTAGAGAAGGGAGGGTAGGATTCTGCCAGAAGTATGCACTTCTTGGGCTCCCACATGGTCTGAGCTGATGGAGTGGCCTGGTAGGTTCCCTTCTAGTATCAATGCTTTACAAACAGTATCACAGCTACTCAATTTTAAGAATATATTTTAAAAACTTATTAAAGTTATATAACATTACAGAAAGCGCAGCTATTAGAGGAAAAAACCAAACTCATTGCCATCGAGTTGATTCTGACTCACAGTGATGCTATAGGACAGAGCAGAACTGCTCCATAGGGTTTCTAAGGTGGATTCGAACTGCCAACCTTTTGTAGCAGCCAAGCTCTTAACCACTGCACCACCAGGGCTCCTATTAAAGTCAGTTATAATTCCAATCACCTTAAGAAATTTTTTTTTTTATTCTTTCAATATTTTAGCATATGCAGGCTTTTTCTTATAATGAGTATACCTCGAGTTATCTGGTTGTTTTACCTAACATTTTTATCATGAGAGTTTTCCCATGTTGCCAAGAGGTCTTGATGATTTTTACTGGGAGCATAATATTCTATGAATTGAATAATTTACTTAATTACCTCCTTTACTATTAACTGATTACAGAATGTTTTTAAACACTTAGAACGAACTCAGTGGCAGAACATCTTTACGCATTTTTAGCTACACTCTAGAACTAGATGATACTACGGTGAGAAATAAGGTTTCTTTTGCAGTTTTTTTCCCCTCAAAACTTTATTGGAAATATCAAATGAATAACTTCTAAGACACTTAAAAAGTGCATTGCTTATTCATCATTCCAATTGGAAAAGCTTACTTAACTTTATAGCAACAAAACAGACACATAAAATCATGTAAAACAGATGAGCCTCCAAGCCCAAAGGCTCTTTTGATAGCTAGACTCGCAGGCAGAGAAGATACAGATCTTCTCAGGGTTCCTAACATCACATTCCAGGGAGACAACCGAGCAGGGAAGGCTCTAAGGAGCCCCAAGGCATATGGAGAACTGCTGAAGTAGAGCAAGTTCCCTGACTGTCTCTCCCACTGTTGGCAGTTAGTTTTGGGTCCAGCCCAATTAAGGGCCCAGAGATTAATGAGGCCATTGCAAATCCATTTTTTAGGCTCAGAAGTTGTTAATTAGCTGAGTTATATTGTAGCTCAGGGGTAGAGTTCAATCATCTCTGGCTTTGAAAAGTTCCGTTTGCACATTTATTCTAGTCTTAATTTGCTACCCTTACAAGCCTGAAAAGGTCAGTTACAAGCTGAGATAGGTCAGGAGTTGGAAAACTTTTTCGGTAGAGGGCACGATCATAAATATTTTCAGCTTTGTGGGTCATATGATCTGTTGCCACTACTCAACTCTGCTGTGGTAGTGAGAAAGCAGTCACAGATGATTTGTAAATGAGTATGTGTGGATGTGTTCCAACAAAATTTACCAGAATAGGCGGGGGAGGGGGATGGTTTGGCTTGTGGGCTGTAGTTCACCAGCCTTGTAATCAACAATGCTCCACCTCAGGTGTCTTATCAACCTTACTTTTCATTATAGTCTATCCTGGCAGAATGAGACAGCAAGTGTAGATTAAACTTATAAACCATTTTCAGTTTTTGCAAATGATTGCAGATGGATGTGGCTGAAACTCCAAGATAGAGCTGCAGAGCTGACGTTTTTTGGGGTTATTCTGCTACATAGAAAAACCTAATTACCTGGACCTTTGGGGTGTATGCTTCCAGCCCAGCAGCTTAAATTGTAATTTCTGGCATGGCCAGTAGAAGCTACATTGATTACCACCCTGTTTGAATTTTTCCTGTTGAATGCTCTTAGTTACCCTGCTTCCTCCACTTGATAGCATGACTGGTAAAACTTAGTGTGGCATGATCTTAAATTGGTGAAGTCACATAATACATTTTAGATATCCTGTTTCAAGAAGTGAGAGGTAAAATGCTGAGGGACACAGGTGGACCACATTGGTTTGTCTACACTAGGTGATAAGAAATGAAGCAACTCTGTGGGACTGGAATATCTTCCCCCTCAACAGAGATTATTTCAAAATGTAAGTTGCCTGTGTTCTACAGCAGTGGTGGTGACCTGTCGTACCACTTTGTCTATGCGATGCTGTACACTCTCAAGAGTTCTGTTGTCTTGAAACACTTCTTTTCAAAGGGCTCACATTACAAAGTACTGTTCAGCTATATACAGATGACTATCATACCTGGATGAAGACCACACATCACAACATAATAATGTTAGTTTCCACAAAGCAAGATAAGAGAAAAAATGTATTTTCTTAACAGAAACAAAATCCCTAAGCCAGAATAAATTACTATCCATAAACCTCCATCTGCCACAGCATGAACAGGACATTGTATTTATCGTTGTCAAGGGCTATGAAGTACTTATTTTTCACAGCAATTTAATGGCAGAAATTCCAATTGGAGAGCTAATATTTGGGCTCTCATGTTCTCATAAAATGTTTAGGTATACAAATTAGAATGTCCCAGCCTGCAAAGACTAACTGAAAAGAATATTCATCAACTATGGCTGGGCTAGTTACAACCATTAGAAGAAAATCAAAGGGGCTACTGGGTGAAAAATCCATAAAAATCAAACAAGATTTGAGCAAAAATAATTCTGAGAAATACTTTTTAAAAAGTATACTTTAAGTGTAGGAATTATTTATTATATACTTACAAGAAAGAAAAACAAAATAAAAACAAAAATTTGATGGTTTCTGGCCACTTAACTGAGTCCATTTAATATTTACAGGCCTCCTTAATCATTTTATCACCCTATCCTACTCAAATTTGTACATTAAGCCATTCAAGACAAAATTTAACGTGCTTTGAGCTGTAATATTAGCACCACCCATTTCCAGTAATGGTGTGAATTCAAATCCACGGTGGAAACAAGCTGGAGCTTTAGCACTGTGAAAACAGAAATCATGCTTATGAAGGAAGACTTAAAGAATATGGTCTTAATGCCAACATTTGAAAGCATTATTTTTCCCATTGCTAGAGGTATACTTTTCTAAAGACCAACAAGACAGTTTCTTTTTGATGGAGATTTTTCCATTTTAAATATAATTTCCTTTGTAATCATCATCTCTCTCATTCATGTGCTAGATTAATAATTGCTATCTGATGAAGCTGACAATTGCCAAACTGATTTAAGGTGTTTTTGTTGCTGTTGAGTTGGCTCCAATTCATGGCAACTTTATGTATTAAAGAACCAAATGCTGTCTGATCCTGTGCCATCTTCATGATTGTTGGTATGTTTGAGCCCACTGTTGTGGCTAATGTTTCAATCTACCTCACTGAAGATTTCCCTCGTTTTCGCTGACCCTCTACCTTACCAAACAGAACTTCCTTTCCTATCAATTGGTCTTTTCTGATGCATATCCAAAGAAAGTCAGTCAAAGTCTCACCATCCTCGCTTCTGAAGAGCATCCTGGTTGAATTTCTTCCAAGACTGATTTGTTCGTTCTTCTGGCAGTCCATGGTATATTCAATATTCTTGGCAACAATACAGTTCCAATGTATCAATTCTTCTTCCTTTTACACTAACTTTTGCATGCATGTAGATGCCATATATTCTTCAAAAGGGGTCTCTGAATGTATGAATGATGATCATACTACCACTTAATATTTATTGTTGTGTGTCAGACACTGTTCCAATTACTTAAAATATATTAACTCATGAATTGTTACAGAGAGGTTAAGGTATGTGACTAAGATTACACAAGAGGTGGAGCTGGGTTTGAACTTAGGCATGACTCCAGAGCTAATACCTCTCAACGCTGTGTGATGCTGCCTTGTGTCTTATTTTGATGAAGAACCAGCTGTCGAATTGAGGCATATGACCCACTCTCCTTAAAATCCGTGTTTTCTTAAAAACGATTCCTTCGTAAGATTTGTTTCAAATGCTTCTGATTTTACAAAAGGTTTTAATATGTTGAAACATTATCTTAAAATGCTTATGGGTGTTTTACATATTTTATTGAATGCTCTTCATTCTACATTTCAAACTGAGTAACTAAATGACACAATTTTATAGAGTGATGTAAGTGTATTTAACCTTTGCACATAAATCGTTTGAAAAAGGTATTAGTAAACAAGTACATGTGTATCTAGATCTTTAAAAACTTCTATGAAACTTAGGATACATGTATTGAAATTAGATTTCCTAGGCAGTACTAGAAAATTATATGGCCAAAAAATATTTACAAAGAGGGAAGAAGCTACAAAATGAGAATGATAGATACGCTGGATAGGATGATCAATTAAGCTGCCTTCAAATAGGATTTGCAGAAGGCTGATGCTCTCTTTTCTGTATTTTAGTCCCTTACACTTGCTCTTTATTATATCCTGATATTGTAGCAAATAATACAATTAAAAACTACTCCTCCCCAAATCTGCAATAAAATGTTTAATGCCTTGTGTATGGTTACTAGTTTAAAAAAAACATAATCCAAATAACTAATCAAATGCTACTGTTTAAAATTTACAGTAGAAAACTGATTAAAAACAACAAAAGACTATCTCTGTTCCAAATTTGGGCCAATTTAAATGATTTTCAATGCAGCTAACCTGAATGTAAAAATTACTTTAGTTAAATCTGGCTGACCAGACTTCCAAGAATAAGATTACACAGGTGGAGCACAAGGATCACTCAGTACACTTCCTCAGTTGAATAACACCAGATTCCTACCAAGCTTCCCTCTTACTGAGGAGATTCATTAGGAAAGGTCCCATCATCCATGCACTCACATAAGATTATCCAAGCCTCTTCCACCACCCTCTACCCTACCCCCACATTAAAAACTGTTAGTTGTGCTTTTGTGGCTTTTTCACTGGAGGCCATAAGTTTGAGTTGAATTATTCAACGTGAGGGTCACAATGAGAGAGCGTGGATCTTTCTTATTCTTGTGAACTGTGATCTTTCCTTTCAAGGCCTCACCTATAAAAGAAAGGCAAAAAATGTGTTTAAGAACTAAATAAATACAGTCTAGCAGAGAAATAAATATATACCTAGCACTTCTCTTTTAATGTTGTGAGATGTTTCATTAATTTTTTTTCTCTTTTTTATTGTGGTAAAAACATACACACCCAAACATCCACCAACCCAACAATTTCCGCATTTACAACTAAATGACATCGATTGCATTTTTCATGTTGTACCACCATTATCGCCATCCTCATCCAAAACATTCCACCGCCATGAACAAAAACCCAGTGCTCCTCAAACTAAAACTCCCTTTCTCCATCCCTCCCAACCCTGGTAACCATTAATAATCTTTGGTTTTTATCCATTTGTTTATTTCATATAAGTGGTATCATACAGTATTTCTCCTTTTGCAACTGACTTATTTACCTCAGCATGTTTTCAAGGTTCTTCCTTCCATGTTGTGGCATGCAACAGAACTTCATTTCTCTTTATGGCTGCATAATGTTTCATTGTATGTATATACCACATTTTGTTTATCCATTTATCTGTTGACAGACATTTCAGTTGTTTCCACCTTCTGGTTATTTTGGTAAGTGCTACAATGAACACTGGTGTACAGATTTGTGTTCCTGCCTTCACTTCTTCTGGGCATATACCCACGATTGGGACTGCTGCGTCATATGGGAGTTCTATGCTCAACTTTTAGAGGAACCTCCAAACTGTTTCCCACAGTGGCCGCACCATTTCACATTCCCACCAGTAACAGATGAGGGTTTCAGTTTTCTCCAAACTCTGACAGCACTGTTTTCCATTTTTTTTGATCATTGCCATCTAATGGGGGTGAAATGATAATCTCATTGTGGTTTTGATTTGTATCTCTCTAAATGGCTAAGGAAGGAACCCTTGCGGCACAGTGGTTAAGAGCTTGGCTGCTAACCAAAAAGTCGACAGTTCGAATCCACCGGCTGCTCCCTGGAAACCCTATGGGCAGTTCTACTCTGTATTATAGGGTCACTATGAGTTGGAATCACCTCGACAGCAAAGGGTAATGGCTAAGGAAGAAGCCATGGTGATGTAATGGTTAAGCACCTGCCTGCTAACTCAAAGGCTGGCAGTTCAAACCCACCTAGCAGCTCTGTTAGAGAAAGACTGGTGATTTGCTTCCATAAAACTCTAGGAGGGCAGTTCTTCTCTGTCACATGGGGTCGCTAAATGTCAAAACGTACTTGACAGCACCTAACAACAAGAAGATGAGTGACGAAGGATGCTGAGCATCTTTTCATGTACTTGTTGGCCATCTGGATATCCTCTTTGGTGAACTGTCCAAGTTCTTTGCCCATTTTTTGATTGCGTTGTCTTTTTGTTGTTGTGTTTTATATAAATTTTGGATATTAGGCCCTTATTTGATACATGGTTCCTGAAAATTTTCTCCCAATCTGTAGGCTATCTTTTCATTTTATTGATAAAATCCTTTGATGTACAAAAGTAATTTATGAGGTCACATCTACCTACCTATTTTGTCTTCTGCTGCTCAGGCTTTTGTTACCATATCTAACAGTCTTATTGCCAAACACAAGGTCCCCAGCCTCACCTCTTCATTTTCTTCTAACAATTTTATGGTTTTAGTTTTCACATATAGGTCCTTAATCCATTCCGATTTGTTTTTTGTGTATGGTATGAGGCATGGAACCGATTTATTCTGCATGTGGAAGTCCACGTTTGCCAGCACCCTTTGTTGAAGAGACTCTTCCTTCCCCATTAAATGGACTTAGCACCCTTGTTGAAAATCAGTTGACCACAGATGTGTGGATTTATTTCTGGACTTTCAATTCTATTCCATTGATCTATATGTCTATTATAAGTAGCCCTGGTGGTGTAATAGTTAGGTACTCAGCTGCTAACTGACAGGTTAGTGGTTCGAATCCACCAGCTGGCAATCTACTTTTGTAAAGATTACAGGCTAGGAACACCTATGGGGCCAGTTTTAATCTGTCATATAGGGTCACTATGAGTAAGAATTGAATTGACTCAACAACATACAACAACAACATATGTCTATTATTACAGCAGTACCAGGCTGTTTTCACTATTGCAGCTTAATAGTATGTTTTGAAATCAGGAAGTATGAGTCCTCCTCTTCTTCAAGATTGCGTTAGCCATTCCACATAAATTTTAGGATTTGCCTTCCCATTCCTGCAAAGAAGGCTGCTGTAATTTTGACGGATACTGCACTGAATTTATAGATTGCTTTGGGTAATACTGGCATCTTACCTGTATTAAGCCTTCCAATCCATGAACACAGAAGGTCCTTCCATTTATTTAGGTCTTCTTTCTTTTAGTAATGTTTTATAATTTTCTGTGTACAAGTCTTTCACCTTCCTGGTTAAATTTATTCCTAGGTACTTTATTCTTTTAGATGCTATTGTAAATGGTAATGTCTCCTTAATTTCCCTTTCAGATTGCTCACTGCTGATGTATAGAAACCTGATTTTTGAGTGATGACCTGTACCCTACCACTCTGAATTCATTTATTTGTTCTTAATAGCTTTTTTGTAGGCTCTTCAGGGTTTTCTATGTATAGGGTCATGTTATTTGCAAAGGACATGATCCTATACAAGGACTCTCTCCTTCTTGATTTGGATACCTTATATTATTTTTCTAGCCTAATTGTGCTGGCTAGGACTTCCAGAATGATGCTGAATAGCAGTGGTGAGAGTAGGCATCCTTGTCTTGTTCTTGATCTTAATGAGAAGGTTCTCAGTCTTTCTCCATTGAGTATGACGTTAGTTGTGGGTTCTTCATAAATGTCTTTTATTATATTGAGGGATTTCCCTTCTATTTCTATTTTGTTGGGTGTTTTTTATCATGAAAGGGTGTTGAATTTTGTCAAATGCCTTTCGGGCACTGATTGAAATGATCATGTGGTTCTTTCCTATTATTTTATTAATGTGGTGTATTACATTGATTGATTTTCTAATGTAGAATCATTAATTTTTGAATGAAGCAAGAACTAACCTACACATCACAGGTATCAATCACCTTGTGAAAGAGTGAGTAAAACTATAGTGGCCATGCAGAATCAGGAGGAGCAGTTTTATTGGACTCCTGAATATGCGGCCCCATGGTGGGTCCCGGTAATATAGAAAAAACAAGATACGGTCCATGCCCTCAGAGTTCCTGGTCAACAGTGAAGAGAAATAGCTACATTAACAATTACACAATAGGTGTGTATCTAAGATGTGTTGGAAGTAAAGATTGGGAATGGTTGGACTGTAGTAAAAGGCATGGTTAACCAGGGCTTAAGAAGGGCATGTGTAATGGCATTTAAGGGAGAGAAAATACGTATAGAGAGCCTTCAGGGCACGGCACTTTGAGGAACTAAAAATTATAGTTGGGAAAACTTAAAATAAATTTATATTTTATAAATACAATGACAAAGCCCTTAGCCTTTAAAGGTAGTGACACTGTGAACGGAAAACAGAACTTACACAGGTATAACAGTGAACACAAAAATATGACAAATCTGTTTGAAGGAAGACTGATTTCCTAAGAATTTATTCTATATGTTCCAAATTGTATAGAGAATATTAGAACATTCTAAAATGGAATTATTTATGTGCTTTTCTGATGATAAATACTACTATTTTTTTCATTTATTTGCCAAGAGTCCATTAAAAATAACAAAATGAAAGAGACTGTAAGCTGTAATTCATCATCATCCCTTGCTTAAGAATAAGATCCCACTAAAAAGCATCAGGTAGAGTTTAACAATCTGGATAGACACAACAAGACTGCATATAAAATGGTGATTGAGGAATCTATGTGAAACCATCCAAGTACTCGATCAGTATCTTATTTTTTAAAAACTGCAAATCCCACACATTCTGGGATAATGAATCTGAATGCTCTTCAAGAAGGTAGTAAAGTAGCACAAGCCAAACCATGTAATGGCTGTATTTATTTTTAGAGTATAAAGATCCCATTATGAAAACATCCATACTGTAATCCTTGAAAAAAGGGAAGACTCATATACTTCAATAAAATTTAAGAAATTACAGTAATGGAAGAAAGAATGTGGCACCAAGTGCACTTGATTCAGCAAAATATAATGATTTTATGTGTAGGTGTCTATGCTAATGTGTACAGGCGGCTTTGGTTTTTGTATCTGACCTGTTCTTCTACATTATTAAGAAATGAAACAAAACTACTTCACTTGCCATGTTCACCAAAGTGTGACATGAGAAAGATTACCAGTGAGGTAGTTCTATAAACTTTATAGACAAAATGCATTCATGATAACAACTTTCAGCAAGCTAGGACTAGAAGGAATCTTCCTCAGCCTGGTCAAGGCAATCTATGAAAAACTACAGAGAACATCACTCTTAATTCAGAGACAGAATGCTTTCTTCCTAAGATTGGAATTAAGGCAAGGATGTCCATTTGACCACTCCTAGTCACTATTCTATTTGATGTCCTAGCTAAGGCATTAAGGCAAGGAAAAAAAAAAAGAAGACAAATACTGGAAAAAAGAAGTAAAACAGTCTTGATTGGTAGACCATGTGATCTTATACACAGAAAATCCTATAGCAATATGCAAAAAAGCTACTAGAACTCTAAGATGATTTGGCAAGGTCTTAGGATATAAGGTCAAGATACAAAATTAACTGTATTTCTGTATACACCCACTCCTCACTTACTGACATGATTAGGTTCCAAAGACCAGGTCATTACGTGAAAACAGGCATTATGCAAAAATGAAGTGTTTTTTTTTTTCCTATTTTCAGACCATCCATTTGTCCGATTTTTTTTAAATTTAGAAAATACCTGTTACCGTTGCATCAACTATGACTCATAGCAACCCTATAGGACAGAGTAGAACTGCCCCATAGAGTTTCCAAGGAGTGCCTGATGGATTCAAACTGCCACCACTTTGGTTAGCAGCCGTAGCACTTAACCACCATGCCACCAGGGTTTCCAACAGCTAAGATTTACTGATGTATTCGTCTCCCTGA